ATTATTTGTACATTAAAAAATGCATCATAATGCTTAGGAGACGTGTACCAAATTTCGTAAAGATATCTGCAATATTCTTACAGTTATTAGAAACAAAAAAATTTTTTTCTGAAAACTTTACCACCCTGTAGCTCAAAAGTTAAGAGGTTTAGGACATGTGTTCATATGAATATTTTGCCTTAAAATAAGTCAAAGATTTACTATTTAAAGTTTGTACAAGTACTTAATAAACACCCTGTATTTAGTTTACAATAGTTCAAGAGAATGAATTGTGATTGTCAAATTTGAAATTTTAACTGAGTTCTAGATCTATTTAAATTGTTTAAGTAAAAAAGAAAATTTTGTAAATGAATGTATTCGGTTTCCTGGTTAAATATTTTATTAAATATTGAATTTTTTTAAGCCAATCTATTTATACTACTTTTAATAAGATAAACATAATTAAATAGGTCTTGAAAGTTACTTTACGGTCTTGAAGGAATAGAAAATTTATTTATTTATTCTTTAGATATTATATAATGTAGTGACTTACTTATTACATGGAAAAAAAAAATTAAATAATACTAAAAATTTTCTATTATTTCATATCCCTAAATGTCATTGTTATATTAGGTAATGGATAAAAAAAAACTATTACTCATTTTCCTGTACTTATTATTTCATATGTCTTAATATTATTTTCTTATTGAAGAATGTGTTTATAATTTCTCTTTTATTTTTATAATTACTGATTGTTTGATTTTTTTTCCCACATATCTGACACAACACTGCACTCTTTTAGGTAAAAATTCCAACAATATACTTGCATGCTTTTGATTTTTAAATAAATGTTTGTAATTGCTTTTTGAATGTATTGATATTTTTATATCTTAGATATATGATAGATATTTTAGTGCCAGACAAATCTTTTAACATTAATAAATATGAACTTAATGATGTTTTATTCTAAATAGAATTAAATTTTGAAATATTTGACCTAGGAATAGCTATTTGACGAACCAGTCTAACAATTAGGTGCATTTAATGATCCAGGCATAAACACGTTAGCGTCAAAATTTAACTCTTCTTGCCCATATACATTTTTGAGCACATTTGGTCAATATTCAATATTTCATTAGTCTAATAACATTTTTTTTATAAATTTCAGTAAAAAATAACTTTTTAATTTTGATATACAGTATTTAGTTACTGTGACAAAAGTCTAATTTATTTATTTAAAAACACACTATTTACAATTTATTTCAGACGTACTATTTAATTTATATAATATTTGAACACTAACTAACAATTCTAATTTAATTCTTACACTTTTACTTTTCAATACAATGTTCTATGTAAAACTAAACTCGGCGCTGATACGTCGTCTATTTATATTACTCTAACTCCGCTACTGGAAAATGCTAGAGACTTCGCGAAGATGACTAAATGGCACTCCCCGCCATTCCAGATGTTTCGAGTGAATCAGCGGCAGACATTTGAGACGCGATCCGGCTGTTTCCACACGTCAGCGTTGCTTCGATCACGAATTGGTTGCCATGTGAAGGCCGCGTGTACACAGGCACAGAGTCGGATTAGGGATATCATGACATTGTCCCGTCCTTAAAAAAATATTTCCTCCTGGAACTAAAACTGAATGATTGTATTTGCTACTGGATCTTTTTTTACAATTTCCAGTTGCATGGAAGTCACAAGGCACAGTCTTCGTTATAACCTGAACGCTGGGAGAATGGCTGCAGACCAGTATTTCAACCTGGGTATCTTAAAAGATTACTTCCACCATGTTTCTAATAGTCACCTTGATGGTAATCAGGTGATCATTAACGTTTATGAGACGAACTGGAATTTCTTTAGCAGTCGTGACCAACCCCTTTCCGATCAGAATGCCTCGTCCAACCTCTTTATCGTGGTTCCAAGGTTCCATCATTACAGGTGTTCCTTCTTCCATAGTTTCTTGAAGCCGTGCTACTATAACGGTTTCACTTCTGCCAGGTACCACCGTATCCTCCTGTATAGCAACTGGCACAGTACTGTCCCCATATGGATGTAGGAATACCTCTTCGTCACTAACTTTGATTACTCTGTTTTTAAAATCCAACTGGAAATCATGTAAGTTCATTATATCCATTCCAAGAATCACATCTTCTTTAATATCAGGGACAATAACAGTATGAGTGAACTTTTCTGTACCAATTCTCAATTGAACCTGGATTTCCCCATGGATGTTGGCACTTTCACCTGTGGCAGTCCGCAGTCGCAATCTTGTTGGTAGAAGTCTCTTACAGTTCTTTATAGTTGTTGGTCGTATAATGGTCCTAGTTGCTCCAGTATCCACCAACAGTGTATACTTTTTACCATTTGCATCGCCATCTACGTATACACTATCATCGCGACATTTCAAAGAGGCTATCAGTACGAGAGGGTCTTTGGAGTTTTCCTGTGGCGTGTTGTCTTCAGTTGTTGGGACCCTAGGGCATTCGCATGAACTGCGTACATGCCCCAGTTCACCACAATTCCAGCATCTGATGGTCTTTGTCTTCATCTTTTTATCAGTAAAGGTCTTTATTATGTTAACTAGTTGGTCGAGTTTATCTTCTACGTTTTCTTCTTTGACAGTTCTCACTTACTGTATCCTCCAGAAGCCTGCGTAGCTGCCTCATACTCTAAAGCAGCGGACAAGACATCAACCAATGTTTTGTGGCGGGCTAAGCGAAGTGTTTTCTGCATCTCGTGGTCACGGAGTCCATCAACAAATGTTTGGACTGCTTAACATTCCATCATGTTTTCCGGAGCTGATGGGTAGGCAAATCGCACCAATCTGGCAATATCTATTTCACATTCTTGAAGGGTCTCGTCTCGTTTCTGTTTGCTATTCTTTAACTGTGATTGGTATTGATGCTCCAAATGTTTGTGGCCATATCGCATGTTAAGTTTTTTTTTTCAGTTGTTCAAAATCATCTGTCTCTTCCACGGGTATAGTCTGAAGGACATCTAAAGCGTCTCCTAGAAGAGCGATGGTCAAATTTATTGCCTTCTCTCGTTCAGACCACTCGTTTGCTCTGGAAGCTGTTTCAAACTGCTTAAGGTAGTTCGTCCATGACATCTTTCCATCGAAATTTGGGGCCTTAACACGAGGAGAGTTTATAGCTCCTTCCAATTTCAACTTCGACTCCACCTCATGACACTTTATTTCACCGTCCTTGACTGGTTCTGTATGTTCGAGTTCTTCTATCTTCTTTTCCATCTCTCTTATTTTCTTCTCTACAGAAGACATCTTGTTTTCCACATCAGCAGAGATTTCGATTTTTAAAGAAGACATTTCGAAAGAAATATTAGACGAACATTTATTTTCCATAGAAGACATTTTGTTTTTCAAGTCGGAAGAAATTTCATCTTTTAAAGAGGATCTATCAGAAGAAACTTTAGTTTCTAAAGAAGAAATTTCGTTTTTCACGGAAGAAACATCAGAAGACACTTTTTCTTCTAAAGAAGAAATATCGGACGAAACTTTACTTTCTAAGGAAGTAATATCACTTTTTATAGAAGAAACTTCTGAAGAGACTTTATTTTCCAATGAGGAAATATTAGAAGAAATTGAAGAAATTATAGCAGATGATGTATTATCCGAAAATAAATACGTTTCCGGATCCAATCCTTCACTTTCTAGTGCTTCCTTAAGACGTTCTGTCAGCTCTACTTTCTTTCCTGTCGTCTCCAGATCACGATCTTCTAGTTCTCGACGCAGCTGAGATACTTTTAAGTCACACAGTTTCTTAGCCATGATTGTCCCCTATTTATTTATAATTCCACTTTTAACACCAATGTGACGAAAGTCCAAAGTTATTTATTTAAAAACACACTATTTACAATTTATTTCAGACGTACTATTTAATTTATATAATATTTGAACACTAACTAACAATTAGGCATTCCAAACTGAATGGCTACCAGTGGGTTCTGACGGGTTATGATATGGCAAAATTATGGCAACCCTGTAGGCCTGGTGATTTGACAATGTCATGTTACATAGATTGATCATCCATATTTTTCAAAATAAACATAAGCTTATGCCTTGAAGTAAAATTGTAAGCAATTATTTTTTTTTAAATATCTAAAAGCTAAAAATTGGTTTTAAAACACATTTTTGCTAAACCGATTCAAATTAATAAATATTTTCCAGGCAATATGGCCGCTCGTAAACGAACAGCTTTGAGCAATCTATATAACTATATATGTATCATTGACCCTGTAAATGACAACATGACAACAGGGTTGCCATATCTAAACTGTCATTACCCACTGGTAGCCATTTGGACAGGTCGTTGGAATGCCTAATTCTAACAGCGGCAGACATTCGAGACACGTCAGCGTTGCTTCGATCACGAATTGGTTGCCATGTGAAGGCCGCATGCGTACACAGGCACAGAGTCGGATTAGAGATATCATGACATTACTTTTTAGAATTTGTCTAAAATGTTCAATGTTCATACAACATAGTCTAATTTAAAAATTAAATTTTTTTAATAATTTGTTACTAATAAATATTTTGTTGAAAAAATTGGTCTGGTTTAATAATTTGTTTTCTGTAAAATATTGTTAATATCTACATTTCTGATATTTTTAATCGTGAAAAAATGTTGGTGCTTTGACCACGGCTCTTTTCTAAGTGGTGATGATCAACTACAATAGTCCATCATATTTAAAAAAAAAATTGTTACAACAGAAAGTGTAACTTAAAAATTTGGTAATTTTTTAGTGAAAGAACCTTGTTATAGGATTTTTTCCAAGTTAAAAATACCCAAATTATTAAAAATGGCTTTTCCTTTGTAGTAAGAGGTATTTGCCATCTTAATTTAAAGCTAAAACTTGAATTTCAACAACTGTTCATTGTTTATTTTTATTTGAATTCCTTGATATAATGTTTAAAGATTTGTCTGCATTCTTTAACAATGTTGTAAATAAAAAATGAAAACACATCAATTTCTGGACATTATTAATAAGAAACGTAGCTATTCTGGCCTTTCCAGGCATTCAGCAACTCCCGAGGCCACAGGATGATCGACTATCCTGGAGATCATTCCAACCAAGAAGCAGTTCCTTTCTTCACCGAAGACAGTACTCAGGAAACTGAAGAGGACACTACTGACGAAAACGAAGAGGACAACATTGTAATCCTCGGAAAAGGAAAGAAAGAGAATTTGGAATTCGAATGGACCACTGGGTTGTGGTCGAAATGTTCGGAGACTTGTGGAGGAAACGGGATTCAACAGAGGAAGGTCAACTGTATTGTAAGGTAAATAGTTTGTAATTTTGGTTATTTTTGTCATTTTAATGTATTTCTTACATGTTGCCTTTTATATTTTGGGATTAGAGCACAAAAACTAATATTAATCATCGAAAATCGCTTTATTGTTTTTCAAAATATTATCCATAAAGATCTATACACTGCATGCGTTTGAACCAATTTTCGAAGCACCTTTGCGACTCTGATTGAGGTATCTCCAAAATATGCATTCTGAACGCATTAACCGCTTCTTCAGGTGTCAAAAAACGTTGACCTCTCACTTTATTTTTTACGTACGGGACTAAAAAGAAGTCATTCGGTGCCAAGTCAGGACTATATGGCGGATACTCATTACATCAACTTTTTGAGTTCTAAAAATGCAGTTGTTTGAGCCAATATGTGAAAGCTCGCATTGTCATGGTGAAGAGTGATCCGTCTTCGGCGGTTGGATTTCCATATTTCTTGGAAGACAACTGGCAAACAAATGGTTGTGTACCACTCAAAATTGACTATTCTGCGTTCTAGTGGTACGGTTGCGACATGTTCAGATTTTCCGAAAGAACAGGCGACAATTTGCTTGGAAGTGCTTTGTTTGCGAACAACTTTTGTTGGATTTGGCTCATCTTGAAACACCCATACAGTCGACTGCTGTTTACTTTCGGGCTCAAACGCAAAAATCTTAAATTTATCAAACGTCACTATGTCATAGACGTGTTTCGAAGCACCGCGATCGTATTTTTTGAGCATTTCTTTCGACCAATCGACACGAGCACATACTTTGATTTTCTTTTACTATACGGAGAATGGTCGCACTGCGCAGCTTTCTGAGTGCCTTTTAAAAGGAGATAGAAAACTCCGCCATTTTGAACCCTTATTACGTGTTGCCTACATCTTGGCGCAATATTTTTAATAGGTGGGTTTTAATCATCCGCTTCTGCTTCAGAATTGTCGGTTTTCTTGTTTTAATCTGACAGGTTAAAACGACTAAACCGACAATTCCGGAAGCAGAAGCGGATGATTAAAACCATTGATAAGGCAACGTAAGGATACGTCATATATATTATTTTTGATATACAAAAGTGGGACCGGTAGGCGTGGCTTTTGCACTCACTAAAATGGCGGAAGAGCAGAACCGGATTTACAAGTTTTTATTTTACTATTTCTGGTTAAGTATCATTATTTGGATTATAAAAAAATGATTTTCCTTTTTATTGACATTGACTTAAAAGGTGGTGGAAGGCCGAGGTTATAAAAGAAGGGGATTTAGAAGCTTAAATATGCCCGGTTTTCAGCCGAGAGGTGCTGAATAAAGTAAATGAAAGAAATAAAATATAACTGATTTAATTATCATTCAAGTGGCTATTAAGCGCTGGAGAATATATTATTTGCAAAATTGCAACTAATAAATGACCATGATATAACACCATTTTGGGTTTAGCGAAGTTTAAAATGACATTTTTACATAAAATGTAATTTTAATCTTCAATTAATAGTTTAAACTTTAACACAATGGTAAAATTAACCCTAAAGCGTTGAAATCATTCGCAGAAAAAATAAATAATACATTTTTTTTTCACATAGGCGACAAAAGTAAACAGAGTTCGATTTATTGGATCAGTCGTCACACGTTTGCACTAGGGCACATAAATAGCTCAATCTTTAGTTTTTCGTTTTTCTATGAGCCCAATGATTTCTGTCTTTAAATCGGAAAGTACAAGGTCGGACATGTGAAGTAATCTAACCTTACTTTAATTAACAGCTTTCTCGAAATTAAGAACAAATGTTCATACACTAAAAGCTCGATAATCAGATACGAAACTTAATGCAAGGCTCGCGGAAAATGGCTAATAAGCAATCTCTGTGTAGGTAGATGCACTATTCAGGAAATCAAAATGTGGATTAATCTTACTTGGTCTTGGTACTTTTGTAGATTTAGACTGAAAGGTGAATATCTTCATGCAAGACATTTAGTAAATCAGCGAAGATTATGGCTACTTACATAAAGGCATACAGTAGTAACACACAACATGCACCACAAACGTGCCGGTCCAATTTAATTGGTCTATGCACAATAATCATGCATATATGATTGAAAGTCAGACAAAGAATGTGAAGATAAAGTTGAAGTCTCAATCATAGTTAAAGTCACAGATGAAGTTAAAGTTAACAGCAAAAGAGTTGAAATTGTAGGCTGGTGATAAAGGGAGGCCAACATCTAGGTAATAAATGTTTATCGAGTTAGGAAAAGTATCCACTATAAGCACTTTTCTTGACCACTAAGTTAAAAACCAGAATATTTTTCCTAATACACAATTTCTTCGCTAGGCAAAATAAGAAATAAATTTGTGAGAGTACTTCCCAAGTGTTCTTACAAAAGCTCTAAGAACAAAATTGACGAAAATGGCCTAATCCAAGTTCAAATTCTAAAACTTGAACATTAAAGATAATTATCTTACTGTAAAACAAGTAAAACCCCGTTGTTGACTAAATGGTTGAATAATTCATTACTTAGGTGGAGGTAGAATGGGGACTAAAGTTTAGCAGAAAAAGCCACTAGAAAAGGTGAACAAAATAGACTGGGGCATATGAACGTCAAGCAAATATTGTAAATGAAAATAATGTGTGCTGTGATTAAATAAAAGTGTACAAGGAATAAAGTTTTAATATTTTCTTATCCATATCTAGGAGTGATATTTATTTTTAATAAGACAAACGGTTATGGTTTTGTTGCTAGTCTAATTGCTAATATTTCACAGTAATATTTATGAAATAAAAATTTTAAATCTTTTAGAGATATTAAATAGTCATATTTCAGAAATGTATTCTAGCTTTTTTCTCTAAAATACTATTAGACTAAAAAAAGACATTTATAAATATACATGTCTATTTAAAATACACAAAACTCAAATATTGATTCTTAAAACATTATTTCATAAAATATAAAGGGGAATCACTTCATTTCCACAAAGTCCTTTAAATGCACTAATCTGAAACAAAGTTTTTTTTAATAAATGCCCCCAGTAAAGAAACATTTACGATTGTTACTACAATATAATTATTAAGATCAATTAGAAATTTTATTCTAACTTATCAAGGGATGAAAAACTTCACAAACTGATATTCTACTCTCTAGTATACTTTAGAGTCTAAATCACTTAACTGCACTGTACTATGCTTTAACATCACTGAACTAACTCAAAAGGCTTGGTCTCTTGAGTCTTCTTATTAGATTTGGCATTGTTGAGGAGCTGGATAATCTCGAGGTTTCCGTGCTGGAGCAGTTGTTGTTAGTGACTACTGGCAAATTTTTGTATTGTATTTTCAACAATCTCCACTTTAAGGTCCCTATGAAGATCAGTATTGTGGCAGTACCAGGGTGCATTGATGATGTTCCTTAATGCTTTATTCTGGAAACGTTGAATAACTTTGATGTCACTTTTCTGACACATCGCCAAAGTTGGCGAATCACTTCATTTTCACCAATTCCTTTAAATACACTAATCTGAAATAAATTATAGGTAATTAAAAAGGTATATTAATATTGTTTTAAATTAACTATAATAAAACAAACAATACTCATGCATACACAAAACATGAAGCTCTACTTTTCAATCAGCTGTAGAACTAATAAATAAAATTGGTGGAACGACAGCAAATGTAGTTTATATTTAAATAGAAATAAGAATATAAAATGCCTATAAATTAAATTTGATAAACGAAATGGCTTACGATTAATGTACTTTTCAAGAAAATGCTTGAAACATATACTGCTGAATTTAGGTTACCAATTATACTTGTTGACAAACTGTATCCACGCGCTACGTTTTATAGGATTTTTGGAAATCTATATTATTTCGTATGAAAAAGTATTATTCTAAAATAGGTAGGCACAGCAGTTGATAGATGATTTTTTTTGCATTTTTAAAAACATACTTTTACACATTTTATACAAACCTGTCATAATACTGTCCTGTATAATATTTATAATTTTGATACTAACCTATGAAACGTTGTTCCAGTCGATTTTTCACAAAAGCGTCTATCGCTAGAGCAGGAACGTATAACACAGCAAGGCATTATATACTTTATAAGTTTGTAACACTCAAAATTTGCTCAAACACAAATTAAATTCAAATTTAATTACACAAATGACACTAAAAATATAACCTATAAAATTTGACAATTTGCACTCACAGTAATGGCGGACCGGTCCCACTTTTCGCTTACGCATGTCGTATCCCTAGGTTGCCAGATCAATGATTAAAACGCACCTGATATTTTGCTTGCTGCTGTCAGTGTCAGTGAATATTATTTTTGGAGTCACAGTTTATTGCTTAATAATCAGTTAGCTCACTCGGACCAGTTGAAAGTTCCAAAATAACATCCACTCCAGGGAAACAAATTTAGGATACGCAGAAGACTGCTGTTTTATTAAGGCGGTTGTCATATATTGTATTATCTGAGTAGCGCAGTGTATAAACTGGAACATTGAGGTAAAAAGTGCCGATGCAGAGTGAGCGATCTGATTCTTTAGCTATAAACTGTGTCATAGGGTTCAAAATGGCCGCGCCCTATGTTGGGCGTGTCGGACCTCTCTCTTGCCCCGTATAGTAATCAAAGTATGTGTGTACGGTGCATACGGGCGTAAATCTCTCATATAATGGCATTCTACATCCTTGTTATCATCGAACAGTGGAGTAGGTTCTTTACATCCAATGTCAAAGTCCGAAAGTAAACCTTTAATCCAAATTAGTTCTTGGCTAGCTAGCTACAGATACAGAAACATATTCGTTCTCAGTGGAAAATAAAGCTATTGATATCTGCTTCATACTTGTCTATGAAATAGGGTTGCCCTCAAAGAAAAATATAAATCCACTAGTCGATTTCCAACCAGAACTATTGCTCGTCAAATCTGAATTTACATAACATCTTAATAATAAGTCTGAGCTGGAATTCAGTTTCAGTTTTCAATTACTCGTTCCTTTCAGGTAATTGATCACTCTTTTAACAGCTTCCCAGTGCATTTGTCTTGGTGTACTCACTCTTCTGGTTAAATAGTTTCCTGCTGTTGCAATATCGGACTAGTCATTGTAGATAAATATAAAAGTACCGCCACTATTTTTCGATATTTCTCGTTATTCGGTAATAAGTTTAGTTTTTCCGTTATTTTGTGATAATCCGGATTCATTGGAGTATATACTTGATTAGCATCTGTTAAATTTAGATCTTGAATTAGTGAATGTATTTTGTTTTCTTGATCAAGCAAGTAAGAACCGTCTTATTCTTAATGAAAAACTCATATCGCCTAGATCCTTTACCTAAAAATTATTGTTTAATTTTTCTCCTAGATTCTTGAGGGGCTTTTATGGCAGATCAGGATATCTACTACACAGATAGGAAGATATAATTAGTCATTTTCTTCCACTTTTACGTATAAACACGAATCATTGCAGCTTTGCTTAAAATCAAGTTCTTGTAAAGTTTCTTTTAGTTTGTTATTGCAAGCTCTGGCATCTTGCTTTAAGTCAAATAAGTTTCCTCCTCGATTTCACTATTAAGGAAAGCTGTTTTTACATCATAGCGTCTTATGGTCAATTTAAATACAGCAGCAATAGTAAGAAGAATTCTAAAGCTATATTGTTGCATTACTGGAGCGCAAGTGCTGTCATAATTGTGGCAATAAGTACTTAAAAAATAAGAGCAAATGGACTGTAAAAATAAGGGGAAATACTTTGTTAACACTTTTATTACATACTAAGAAGGAATTATTTTGCCAACACCTGGCATCAATGATTAATAAGAGTAAATTAATAATGGCACTATTATTTAGCGATTTACTAGGATATAAATTATTAGGAAAAAAGAAATAAAGGGGGACACATTGAATTTATTGTTCAACCCTTGTACTTACACATAACACATAACATAAATAACGATTTCTGAGTTCACAAAAACACGTTCAGAGAGCTTAATTCATAATGTACCACACTATTCATTTCATTTATAAAAGGATTCAAAACTAGTAACAATGCATGTGTTATAACACACACGTGCTCCTTATTTTTGGTGAACACTTTTTAGCACAATAACTTGCATGTGATTTATAGATCACTTAACACACTGAGGTTTCGCGAACTTTATGTAGTCGACAACGGCTTAATTTCCACAGTTTTTACATGATTTATATTTCATTCTTTTAAGGACGCCTACAAGCCTCTTGGCATCATATTCGTAATGGTCGCTCCTGCCTGCGGCGATCCTGCTCAACCCCTCTCTGCCGGACGTTTTGTATTGTTGAAATGACCACTGATAAGATTACTTCCGGGCGGTTAAATTCAAAATCGATATTTGACGCTAATTTTTGAATTATGTAAAATTAAATTTTTCTTGTTCAGAAATGGTTGATTTCTGAACAATAATCTTCGCAAAATTTTTGTGTAAACCCCTTTGCTACCAGTCTTACCATAACTGTCTGTTTTAATTTTGAAAACTCATTTAGAATCTACTGGTTTCTTATTTGAAGGCAATTCAATAAGAAACCAAACTTGTCTTTCTGTAAAAAAATTTAGTTCCTCTGACATAGTTTTCTTTCATTTAATTTTTTCAACTTCTGGAAATGTGACTAAATCCTTTATTGATGTTGGTTCTCTCAAAAATTCCTCATTTGACACTAAATATTAAAATTTTTCTGAAGGATTGCTCTTTGTTTCTCTTTCTGATCTTCAGATTCTCTGATCCTCATGGATTTCTTCATTTTTATCCTGATTCTTGTTGTTATTATCATCTGTATTTTCATCTTTACTGTAAAATTCGCAACTGCCGTTTTTTTTGTTTCTTATATCGCCATTAAGTTCATCAGTTTCATCTCCATTCTCTTTAGCAGTTTAATTTTTTTTTTGAATATTTTTCTCACTATTTCAATATTTTTGGTTTCCAATCTCTCATAGCCCAGATAATGAGTATTTTCTACAAATTCAACTGTTCAACTATTATTGGTTATTGGATATAATATTCGATAACCTTTAGCATGTTTTGAGTAACCAACAGAGATGCTTTTCTTAGCTTTTCTCTCCCATTTTGTTCTGTTTTGAGCTGGAATATAGAAAAAAGTAATACTACCAAAACATTTAAAAAAACTAAAACTTGGTTTCTTTCCTTTCCAAATTTCATATGGAGTTGTTACTACTGCCTTTGCTGGTAAACAGGTTTGCAGAAAACCACTGTTGTAACAGCTTCTCCCCAATATTTTGTACTGAGATCAACTTCAAACAATATAGTTCTTGCGGCTTCACAAATTGTACGGTTTTTTCTTTCTGCTATCCCATTTTGTTCTGGTGAAAATGGAACCGTATTTTGAAATGATATTTCCTATTTTCTAAGTATATCTTTAACATTTTTTCCAGTATACTCGTCCCCGTTGTAAAATCTAAAGCAGTTTGGGTAAATATTATTTTTCGCTGAATCTTTAGATTTTAATATTTTCACCACAGTAAAACGGGAAAAATCATCAACAAATGTGAGAAAATATTTATTGCCACTAGGCGTTTCTGTTTTCATAGGTCCACACTAAGGTTGGCACCTTTTTGAAAAGTGAATAAATGACTACTATGCTGACAGGGGCTCCGGTATACAAAACGTCCTCATCTTTCTACTAAACTACTAAGCTTGTTACAAAAAAAATCTTCTCGTCAAAAAACATCTTAGCTTATATATTTTCGTACAAGCTATGTCCCTTCCAAAGATAGTGCTGTAAAAAAAGACATTTGCCGTAAAAAAGGACATTTGTTGTAAAAAAAGACATTTGCCATAGAAAAGGACATTTTAAGCTTTAAAAATCACAAGGGCATTTTGCTTCAAAAAAAGGACTGTTCTTTTCAAAAAAGGACAGGTGGCAACCCTAGTCCACACACATCAGAATGAATAAGATCGAGTAAACTCTTTGAATATTTTGTAGCATGTTTTGGAAATGGCCTTTTACTCATTTTTCCTCTTATACAGGTAACCCACTTCAAGTATTTATTAATTATTTTCATTTACACTCTTCGTGCTAGGTTTTTAGAAATAATTTTTCTTATATCTTCTACATTTCGATGCTTTAATCTCTTATACCAAAGGTGGATACACTTATTCGTTTGGACAGAGATATTAACTTCTTAGCTCTAGTTTATAAAGTCCTTTTTCTATTTTAGCTTGAGCAATGATTTTATTATCCTGCTCCTGGTCAAAATGTACAACCTTTTTCTGACAAACATTTGACTGACAATAGTAGATTGATTTTTAGACTAGGAATATATAAGACGTTTTTTATTTTTATTTTTCTGGATTCATTCAGCAATTTTCAAATTAAAAATCCTTCTCTTATACCTGCGCACTGTAGCTTTTCACAATTTGCAACAGTAATTACATCATTGTATGGTTCAAGATGATTGAAAAACTTATTGTTTGAAGTCATATGGCTTGTGGCTCCTGAGTCTATAAACCAGTCTTCTTCTTCTTCTTCTTCTTCTCCGTTTCGTGAAAAACAGAAACACTTCTGTTCATCGCTATCTTCTGATAAATCGTTTTTTGCATGATGCTTGTTTTTGTAGTTATAATTATTAGGTTTATTAGTCTTATTTATTATATAGGAAATAACAGTCTCTCTTCATATGGCTTTTTTTGTGACAATAAGTGCATTCAATAGAGTTGCGTTTATTTGGATAATGAACAGTTTTCAATGCATTTTGATCTGATTCTTCTGTATATGGAACTTCTCAATTATACTCGTCTAATGGTGTTTCTTTTACATACTTTAGAGTGAGTTCATTAACTGGACGAACGTCTAAAGCTATTACCAGATCTTTATAACTATATGTTCTGCGAATATATTCCGACATTGGTTCATTTTCACCTAACTTTGTTTAATATAATTTTCTTAAAAGATAAAGCTTGTTTGTTTATAGACTTTTTGTAGAACATCCCACATCTCTTTCGCTGAGAACCAGTTACCTATGTGTTGAATTTGGTTATTTCTTACCGAAAGAGATTAACGTGATTTGAGCTTTTTTAAAGATTGCTCATTTATACTCGTATTTCCGTATCACTCACCATTTCTTCATTATCTGTTGTAAGCATTTTATATCCCACCAATGTATTCCTCATTCCCTTCTAATTTCTTTATGAATCTTTGGCTCCAAATACTTGCTTTACAATATCTTCCCTTAATCGTATTACATTTGCTAGTCATTATAATTATTACGTACTAAGTATATCTCAAAGATTTAATTTTGAAGAACTGTTATTTAATATTTTTTTTAAATGATACTGGTAAACATAATATTTATTTCTTCAGGTTATATAATGCCACCCAACCTGTAGATGATATTCTATGTGATGACGCTGGATTGACTGCACCAGCCTCAAACAGAAAATGTGGATTCGACCAATGTCCAGAGTGGACGACACATGAGTGGAGTCCTTGTGAAAAATCCAAATGCTTCGAGTGGCACAAAGGTAAGAAAATAATAGACCCCATATTTTTTTCATCACAGACTAACCAATAATTTGGAACAGAGTCTTTTAAATGCAGATTCATTGTATCTGTTTCGTTAAAGAAAATTTTTATGTTAATGTTATTAAATGCTAAATCTTTCGAAAACCAAAGAACTTATCTAGAAAATTCTTCGCATTACAAAGACACTCATATCTAAATGAATCGAACATAAAACACTATAGGCTAACTAATTTAAAGCCGTTTATATCCAACCCTTCGATGAAAACCTCTGCTTAAATCCTTGAATGAAGTAGAACTAATCTAAAGGTTTTACGGAATTGATAGACAAGACTGCCATCTAAGAAATCTTATGAAATGGATGTTTAAATTTATTAATAATATGACACAGTGGAAGACGAATCAACAGAGAACCTGCTCCGCTATAGAAAGATTTCACCTCTTAGTAAAGTTGAAAGTAACTAAACTATAGGGCTATTCTTTGTTAATCTGTCAAATAAGCCGATAAAAAGATAAGCTCTAAGTCACCAGAATTTTCCAACCTTAAATAAATCTCATCAAAGAACATATCCTTTATTTTGCGATAAATTACAATAGGTCCTTTGAGGTTGCAGTGAAAGGAGATGCTATTATTCTTCATTTTTAACCTATCCTAAATTAAAATATTTAATGATTTTCAGCTCTTCAAAGAAGAATTGTAAGGTGTGAAATAGCAGCAAATTTAACTTTGGATCCTGCAAAATGTGAGCCAGATGCTAAACCGATAGACAAGCAAGAATGTTATAGCGAAAAATGCGTTGGAAAATGGAAAGTCGGACGGTGGTCAGAGGTAAGAAATCTTTTTTTTCAGTTAGGTACTACTTAATTTTTTCTCCACCTCCCTCTTGCAATATACGAGTATTATTTAATATTTTTTTCAGGTTTGTCTTCCCAAACTATTTGATTTCTAAATCTAATTCTTCTTTCTGCTAAAATATAAAAAACAATCTTAATTTACTTTTTTGTTTAATTTTATTTCGATTTGAGTGAAATAATTTACCAATAAACTTCTTTCAATGTTTTTCTCTCCTGCTATTTTAGTCTGTTCGTGCTCTGTGATATACACATTATTTATGTCTTTCTGTTTTTATTTTAAGCTTACATTGTTTTGTCTCTGGATTTTATATTTTATTAAAGGTTTTTCTAAGATTTAAAATTATAGATACTCTTTTTTGGATGTATTGTGGCTGTTTTTATGATGAATCAGTTCAGATTTTCCCCATTTACTTTTTAAAAGTGTTTGAACGTTTCTGCTCTTTCTACAATTTTCCTCCACTTTAAAGTGCTTCAAATTGTGTTTTCTATGAATTCTTTTAAATTATTGTCCTCTATCTGATTTTTCCACCATGACTTTACTTTTAAGTTCTCTTCAGCTTCGATTTCTATTCTACTATATTTCATAAATGGATTTACTTTATAAAAATCTATTTGAACGTTATCATGCACGCTACAGGTGCATAAACATCTTCCACTGCATTAAAATCTTGCTGAAATCATCTGGATACTAACCTCGTTTTCCTTTCTGTCTTACCCTCGATTTGTTTTTATGTAAAAACGCACTTGGAATCTATGCTTGTTTCGTTGAATGGACGTGAAACTATATCATAAGTTTCATTGCGCTCCAGGCTTGCTAGATCTTCTTGTATTTCTTCTCTCCAGCCTTTATTTTGAATAGCTTTCTTATAACTTTTTTTCGGTTGGTTAATAACCTCTAGACCAGTGGTCGCCAACCTCTCAATGTGTTGAGCTACTTTGTTAATTTTGGAATAAACAGCGAGCTACCCACACGGAAGCCACGTAACGCAACGTAAATGAAATAATCCACAGTTAATTTATCATTATATGTATTTATTTTACTATTTAACAGGTAATACATAATACATAGGTACTAATAATAAACTTATAACAAAATAACTAATATTACTAGTACGTACTTGTTCATAGCTACATTCCTACCTACCAAACGAAGGTGTTTGAAAAATAAACACAAACTTTTATCCAGCCACAACGGCATGTCACGTAAGATTTAAAAATAATTAATAATAACAACAAAAAAGTAACGCACTATCAAGAAAATAAACATTGAAAAATTAAAAAGCACGTTCAATGAGAAGGCTGATACTCAGACTTATCGATAATTTTTTTATTGTTTGCAGTATAATTTGATACAGCCATTCGAATACAATTATCCAAATGTTCATCTGTAAGTCGATTGCGATATTTGTTCTTAATAAACTTCATATTGGAAAAAGAAGATTCACTTAAATAGGTTGAACTGAATAATGCTTTCACTTTCAAAGCAACACGGCATAGAACTGAATATTTGTCTTTACTTACAATAGGCCAGATACATTTGGTACTTGAGACTAACGATTTTAAGGCTAAATCATTTTGAAACTCAACCCAGACAGCACAAAGACATCTTTAAGACGTCCATAAGATGTCTTTCAGAGACATGACAGACGTCTAAAAGACGTCTTATGACGCCGGCCAGACGTCTTAAAGACATCTTTAAAACGTCTGATGTTACAAAAGGTAAGGTTCTTAAGACATTTTGAATATGTCTGTTTTTCAACATTGGTAAGACGTACTCTCGGATTTAGTTTTAAAAGCTTCTGTAAATTCCTTCTATACAAAATAAAACACATATTTTCTATAAACATTATTATTAACAAATCACTGAAACAGTTCGTTAAAAAAAGTAATATTACAAATTATTTTTTTTTTTGATTCTTCCTCCGTTAGTGGTTAATCTTCTGTCGGATGCTCTTCTGGGCCAGGATTTTCAGTAGATAGTGTGGGTTAAGGATGGTCAAATAATGGCAATCTTCTTGTACTTTCAACTCTAATTCAGATATATTTACATCCGATAAAGCTTCTAAGTCAGCTTTAGACGTACTTAAAACACTAATAAGGGTTCTTCTATTTGGTTTTTCAGTATATGCAGTAAACTTTTATGCTTATAAATTCACAGTAATCCACGGCACAAGACACAAATAAAAAAATCAACGAATAAACAACAAAAACTAACCTCTCAGCTTCAACATCAACGACAAATGACAACGAAAGGACAACGCAGAACGCCACGAACCACGGAACCCCAATAATACTCACATTCATATACACATCCTTGTTTGAATTCCACTGTTGAAAAAAGACAAAGCATAATAAAAATATTCGCTTCGATCGCTGAACCATGTTCCGGTCAAGGTGAAAGAGCGCGTAATTCAATTTGTCTTATGTTTTAATTGTTAATTTTATTTAGAGTTATATTTATTATTATTATTTTTATGTTATCAAATATTTACTTACTCTAATGAACAAATTCTCGTGAATAAAAAAAAAATTATAAAGTAAATTATGTAAATTAATAAAAAAAATAAAAAATAAATTTATATTTTGTGAAATCAAACGACAAGCCAGTACTTTTTTAAAGTTACCATTATTTTTTATATTTTTTAAATAGATAGGCATTTAAAAGACGTCTTTAAGACGTCTTTTTATGTGTCCTAAAAGACGTCTTTATAAAGACGTCCTTACAACGTCTTTTTTAGGTCTTTAGGCGTTCAGTCATAACTACGACATAAAACAGACGTCTTTAAGATGTCGTGTGCTGTCTGGGAATTACTTCCATTTCTGTTGCAGCGATATCTTCGCCAAAGTTCTGCATAACACAAGTTGCAAAGTGTTGGATATCAATTTCCATAAAGGGTGAAACAACAAACTGCGCTACTAAAGCCATTTCATTGAAATCCTTAAAAACAATTTTGAAGTTATTCTTCAGGGTAGAAACTATTTCTACATGATATTTGCTGTCATAGGATTCTAATGGATTTTGAGATATATTTTCTGAAAGAATAGGAAAATGCTTGGCATCGCTGTTAGTTAGGTTTTGTTCCCAAAACTCCAGCTTTTTAATAAATGCTTTTATATCAGAAATCATTTCCGCTAGTTCTTTGTCCCTCCCCTGAAGCTGCAAATTAAGTTCGTTTAATTTCTCTGTAATGTCCAGGAGAAAACCAAAATCTCTAAGCCAGATTGAATTTTCTAGTTCCGGAGTCGGTTCATCGCGTTGTTTGAAAAATTGAACTATGCCAGATAGGACATCATTAGAACGTTTCAGCACCCGTCCTTTACTTAACCATCTTACTTCAGAGTGAAGGAGTAGGTCCCCGTATTGACAGTCAACTTCATCGGCCAAGGTTTTGAATAATCTTCTTTGTAACGCTTGAGCTCTAATCTTGTTCACAATTTTTACTACCAGTTTTATAACGTTGTTTAGTTTCAGGAAATTTCCACATAATGCTTGCTGATAGATAATACAGTGGTAACAGAGAAATTGCGGAAAAGTTTCATCTTTACGACATAACGCCACCAGACCCTTATCACAACCCACCATAGCTGGAGCGCTATCGGTTGTCAAGCCTACCATTTTCAATATTGGAATTTTCTCGGAAGAAATATAATTTTTTTAAATGAGAAAAGACCTCCTGTCCAGTAGTGTGTCCTTTCAGTGGAATAAACTTCAAAAGATCTTCTTTAATCGTAAAATCACTAAAAACCATCCTGATGAACACAGCCATCTGGGCAGTGTCAACGACATCTGTTGATTCATCCAGTTAAAGTGAAAAATAAATACAGTTATTTCTTAACTGTAAAGAAATATCATTGCTCATTACTTCTACACGTCTCATCACTGTATTAGCAGAATGTTGCATAGATTTTATAGCTGAAACTGTCTCGTCTTTATTTCTAAAGTTGGCAAATAACGAATCAGCAGCTTCTAAAAACCCCCCCCGTCTTCATAAGGTTTCTTTTTTTGTGCAATTATCTGGGACACACGGTACGATGCTTCAGTTGCAGCCTTATTTTTGTCGACTGTTCTTGAAAATATTGATTGTTGTCCAATTAACTGCTTTTTTAACTGTTTCAGTTTCTCCTTTCTGGCGGCAGAATGTAGTGGGAATGTTTTTTAAAATTAGAATGTACAGTTTTATGATGTCTCTCAATATTTCCTTTTTTAGCAACGGAGACCGAAGTATTACATAACAAACACACATTTTTATCTTTAACTTCTGTAAAAAAGTATTGTACTTCCCATTCCGAATGAAAGTGGTATGTCTTTACCTTCTTACAACTGCTTGACATAATATTATTTTTTGTTGTTCTCTACTAACCCAACCGCTGGACGTTGGTTACGCGTTCAGTTTTAAACTAAGCGCAATGTTGCCGCGCCGTACGTATTTATCCCGTTCAAAGCAATTCTGACCGTTCTAGAACACTAACTCGCTGGTCCGGCTGGTCGGTTCTAGCCGATTCTAGCTTGATGGCGTCAGCGGCAGATCGCTCACCGCAACGTTGCCGCTGTTCATGTTTAATATTATGACAATTAGATTTTGTTGTGGAATTTTCGGAAGCTCCTCTGATTTTTGCAGTTTGTATTTTTTAAATTAAAATCGTTGTGAGAGCTACCAGAATTGCCTCCGCGAGCTACCGGTAGCTCGCGATCGACAGGTTGGCGACCACTGCTCTAGACAATGCTGCCATAAAATTAATTTCATAATTTTCAAATCTTATTGGTAATCTCTTTTATTTTGAACTTCGTCTTCTGCCCCTATGTTCCGAACAGGATGAACTTGTCTTTTATCTCTTCAGGATTATCAAAACCGAGTGGTAGAAGTTGTTCTGAAATTTTGATTTTTAATCAAATACCATACTTCTTGCTGAAACAATTTTAAATTTATTTGGATCCCACATACGATAACCATTAAATACATAACCAACCATTATCAAAGGAATACTTCGCTGATCTAATTTTTCCCTGGTCTTCTTTGGTACGTGAACATGACCTGTACAACCAAAAACTCTCATGTTTTCAGTGTCCATCTTGTGATTAAACTGGAATCATATTTGTTGAAGAAGTTGGTAATCTGTTAATAATTCTGTTCTGGAGTTCTTGCTGCTGTGTATTGGACTTCAATTCCTTTCTCTCTGCAAAACATTTGTAACTCGTGTGAACAATACTCTCCGCCATTTTCACAACGTAGTTTGGATATTTTCATTTGAAACTTAGCATTTACGATTGCTTCGTATTCTTTAAACTTAACGAAAACTTCACTTCTATTATTTAACAGATATACATGAGGAAAATGGAAAAAATGATCTATAAAGAGTACATAAAACTTACATCCATCATGAGTAGCTGGTTTAAATAGACCTGCTACATCTGACGACACAATTTCTAGTATCCTTTTTGACTTTATTTCTTCAGAGGTATATTTAAAGGTTGCACGTGTCTGTTAAAAATACATCACAAAAACTTAAAAAGAATAGCCCATTCGTCGATGTATTACATTCTTTTTTTTTTTGATATATTTGCATATATATATTTCTTTTTAAAAATTACACTACACACAAGTTTACCATAATTCGACCTTCGACAAGTATTTTTGACATTTTGTCCAATATTTTTACACAACTATCTGCAATTATAATGCTCAGTCCTTCGTTCTCTAGTTTTTTAACAGATAGTAGATTAAATTCCAATTCATTGCATTGCAGCACATTGTTCATTTTAGGTTTTAAACCGTTTTGATTTTAGACTGATAGATTGCCCTTTTTATGAATTTTCGATTGGTTTCTAGTTTTTCACTAAGTGATTTAAAGTTAGTATCGACTATAAATGACAATACTTACAATAATTCATTTTCCGTTACTTTGTCAACCTTGACAGCACTTTGGTCATCATATCGTTAGTTTGTTTAAAAACTTGCTTTGTTATAAAAGCTACCTCTTCTTCATTTTCTTCTGCTACATGAGTTTGAGCATTATTATTTTTATTTATTAGCATACGACATTCATTTAGCTTGTGACATTGTTTTCCACAATAATAGCACAATAATCGAAAAATACCTTCTTTAAATGTATTTCTTCTGCCTCGGTTCTGGAAGAAATTTTTGTTTCTTCAGCTTCCACTTGCCAAAACGACTGGATTGACGACGACGTTATATGTGGATGTTAAGCTTGCTTTCAGCTGGTGACTTTCTTCTTGCGGCAACTTATTTTTTACAAACTGGAAAGTCACATAATTCGGATTTTGACTGAAGCTAATAGTTGTAATATTACCTCACTAGTCTCAATAGTTCCTCCACAGGTTCTTAATTTTGATATGGTCTTTTCGAAATTTGTAATAAATTCACTGAGCGAGCCTATTTTGTACTGTATGTTTATAAATTTTGCTGGAGTTCTACTTGTGCAGAAAGACCTCTTTTTGTATAAATATTGTTAACAATTTCATACATTTCTTTTGCTTTTTTACATCTCTCAACGTTTCCAAAATATCATCAGTCACCCTCTGCACTATAATATTCCGTGCTTTGTTGTCTCTTTTTATAAATTCACCTTAACATTGTACTGTTCCAAGACTAACTTTATTTTAAACTCCCATGTAGTAAAGCTATTTCCATCAAACGGTTTTAGATAAGCAACTTCTACCGCTGTAGCCATTGTACTTCCAGTGACACTTCCAGATAATACTCCTGTGCATCAAATTTCTCCCCAAATCAACACTTTTTATTACAGATATTAGATAAGATTTACTCCAGTAAAACTATTATTCCATTACTGGGCCCATAACCTATTCAAGTACGATAGTTTGGGCAAAAATAAAATAAGCAAATGTTAATATTTTGGTCTTTATTTCTCACAATTTATTTTTTTGGATTACCTATACCAGTGGTCGCCAACCTGTCGATCGCGAGCTACCGGTAGCTCGCGGAGGCAATTCTGGTAGCTTTCACAACGATTTTAATTTAAAAAATACAAACTGCAAAAATCAGAGAAGCTTCCGAAAATTCCACAAAAAAATCTAATTATAATATTAAACATAAACAGCGGCAACGATGTGGTGAGCGATCTGCCGCTGACGCCATCAAGCTAGAATCGGCTAGAACCGACCAGCCGGACCAGCGCGTTAGTGTTCGAGAAAGATCAGGATTGCTTTGAACGGGATAAATACGCACGGCGCGGCGACATTGCGCTTAGATTAAAACTGAACGCCTAACCAACGTCCAGCGGTTGGGTTAGTAGAGAACAACAAAACGTAATATTATGGCAAGCAGTTGTAAGAAGGTAAAGACATACCACTTTCATTCGGAATGGGAAGAACAATACTTTTTTACAGAAGTTAAAGATAAAAATGTATGTTTGTTATGTAATACTTCGGTCTCCGTTGCCAAAAAAGGAAATATTGAGAGACATCATAAAACTGTACATTCTAATTTTAAAAAACATTCCCACTACATTCTGCCGCCAGAAAGGAGAAACTGAAACAGTTAAAAAAGCAGTTAATTGGACAACAATCAATATTTTTAAGAACAGTCGACAAAAATAAGGCTGCAACTGAAACATCGTACCGTGTGTCCCAGATAATTGCACAAAAAAAGAAACCTTATGAAGACGGGGAAATGATAAAACAGGCGTTTTTAGAAGCTGCTGATTCGTTATTTGCCAACTTTAGAAATAAAGACGAGATAAAATCTATGCAACTTTCTACTAATACAGTGATGAGACGTGTAGAAGTAATGAGCAATGATATTTTTTTACAGTTAAGAACTGACTTAGATAAATGTGTTTATTTTTCACTTCAACTGGATGAATCAACAGATGTCGTTAACACTGCCCAGATGGTCGTGTTCGTCAGGATAGTTTTTAGTGATTTTACGATTAAAGAAGATCTTTTGAAGTTTATTCCACTGAAAGGACACACTATTGAACATGAGTTGTTTTCTCATTTAAAAAATATTATTTCTTCCGAGAAAATTCCAATATCGAAAATGGTAGGCTTGACAAACCGATGGCGCTCCAGCTATGGTGGGTTGTGATAAGGGTCTGGTGGCGTTATGTCGTAAAGATGAAACTTTTCCGCAATTTCTCTGTTACCACTGCATTATCCATCAGCAAGCATTATGTGGAAATTTCCTGAAACTAAACAACGTTATGAAACTGGTGGTAAAAATTGTGAACAAGATTAGAGCTCAAGCGTTACAAAGAAGATTATTCAAAACCGTGGCCGATGAAGTTGGCTGTCAATACGGGGACCTACTCCTTCACTCTGAAGTCCGATGGTTAAGTAGAGGACGGGTGCTGAAACGTTTTAATGATGTCCTATCTGGCATAGTTCAATTTTTCAAACAACGCGATGAACCGACTCCGGAACTAGAAAATTTAATCTGGCTTAGAGATTTTGGTTTTCTCGTGGACATTATAGAGAAATTAAACGAACTTAATTTGCAGCTTCAGGGGAGAGACAAAGAACTAGCGGAAATGATTTCTGATATAAAAGCATTTATCAAAAAGCTCGAGTTTTGGGAACAAAACCTAATTAACAGCGATGCCAAGGATTTTCCTATTCTTTCAGAAAAAATATCTCAAAATTTATTAGAACCCTATGACAGCAAATATCATATAGAAATAGTTTCTACCCTGAAGAATAACTTCCAAAATCGTTTTAAAGATTTCAACGAAATGGCTTTAGTAGCGCAGTTTGTTGTTTCACTCTTTATGGAAATTGATATCCAACAGTTTGCAACTTGTGTTATGCAGAACTTTGGCGAAGACATCGCTGTAACAGAAATGGAAGTAATTGAGTTTCAAAATAATTTAGCCTTAAAATCGTTAGTCTCAAGTACCAAATATATTTGGCCTATTGTAAGTAAAGACAAATATTCAGTTCTATGCCGTCTTGCTTTGAAAGTGAAAGCATTATTTAGTTCAACCTATTTGTGTGAATCTTCTTTTTCCAATATAAAGTTTATTAAGAACAAATATCGCAATCGACTTACAGATGAACATTTGGATAATTGTATTCGAATGGCTGTATCAAATTATACTGCAAACATTAAAAAAATTATGGATGAGTTTGAGTGTCAGCCTTCTCATTGAACGTGCTTTTTTATTTTTCAATGTTTATGTTCATGATAGTGCGTTACTTTTTTGTTGTTATAATTAACTATTTTTAAATCTTACGTGACATGCCGTTGTGGCTGGATAAAAGTTTGTGTTTATTTTTCAAACACCTTCGTTTGGTAGGTAGGAATGTAGCTATGAACAAGTACGTATTGGTAATATTAGTTATTTTTTTATTAGTTTATTATTAGTACCTATGTATTATGTATTACCAGTTAAATAGTAAAATAAATACATAAAATGATAAATTAACTGTGGATTATTTCATTTACGTTACGTTACGTGGCGTAGCTCGCTGTTTATTTCAAAATTAACAAAGTAGCTCAACACATTGAGAGGTTGCGACCACTGACCTATACTATATTTATAGGAATTGCTAAAACTAATGGGTAATATCACGTATTCTTATGGCTTTGTATTTTAATTATTTTTTGTTAAATTAGTTTTCGGTATACCTGTTTCTACATTCATCCCCAGCTATCCACAAGCACCAGTTGGTCAAAATTTTAAGTGACACCCAATATATTTGAGTATTAAAAATGTTCTTAATACATTTGTATAAATCCTTTTTCTACATAATCTTGTTTTTCTTACAGTGTGCTGCTGCTTGCGAAACTAAAGGTTTAAAATACCGAATTATACAATGCGTTTGGTATGGAACCAAAAAACCCGCAGGAACAGCTTGTAAGGATTTAAATAGGCCGCCCATAATGAAACCATGTGTTGGAATTTCATGTACAAAAACAGGTAATAATTATTAATATATAATGCACCTAGGCGTGGTTTGCACCGTGATTTTTTTTCTACAGGAGGTAAACATCTAATAAAATAAATAGAACACAACAAACTTGATTTTAATTAAAACGTTAAGAATGTTTTAGTGTACTTCAGTTTTTTTCGATTAAAAGCGACGCGAGAATGAACGGACTGATCCATGGGCGCCGCCAGTAAAAAATTCAGGGAGGGGCAGTTTTTTTAAATAAAAGCGTTGCAATAACTTGAAATGAACATTCTTTTACAAAAAGGGTATAAAGTAGTAGGTTAGGTAGGATAGTTTATAAGTAAAACAATATATTTAAAAAAGTATATTTTCTAAAAAAAAAACGTACAATAACCAAAGACATCAAAAACATGTTGAATAAGCAAAAAACGCAAGAGCAAATTTGGCGGTTGAAATAGAAACATATGTTATATAAACCTATTCCTGGAAAAAATCAAAACTTCCGGTTAAATGAAACTTAAATAATCTTACATATCCAATAACTAACTCTAGCAATATTCACATTAAAAATAAAAATAGAAATAAAACAGTCTTTTTTTGACCAAAATAAAAGCCAATGCAAAATATATATGTAATAAAAAGGCAAAAGGGCAGTCATAATCTAGTCGCTAAAAAGAAATTTTAAATTTCTTCTTTCTGAGCCAAATAAATCAATGACTTTATTAATTATTTCAAGTTTATTGTTGTCAACGTATTTCCTATGAACACGTATAAGAGCCAGTCCAGAAAGACGGTTTTCGCTCATTGTTGATCTAAGCCAAGTCTTGACTCTCCTAAGAGTACCGAATGACCGTTCAATTGAACATGTTGTAGGGGGCATAATTACAAAGAATTTTAAACAAATTTTAATGTTGGGAAAAAAAGCACATTCCTCATTTAGAAGTTTGGTTATATCTCCCGAGAACTCCCTTTCCTTCCACACTTGTTGCCATGTGGAATATTCCGCCCTTAAATTTTCAACCCCAAATTTTTTTGAAATATCATCTAACTGACTTTCACTAAGATTAATTCTTTCTTTAATAAGAGCTGGATGAAACCGCGATAGAGAAAAGGCTGATGTGTTATTAGAGCTAAACCGTGTTTTAAGGGAGCTTATGATTGAATCTAAATAAGGAATGAATATAGAAATCCTAAAATATTCTTCTGGTGATTTGCCCTGTATATTTGATCTGTAATTTTGACATGGAATTGTTCGAGGAGTTTTGATATTAATATTTAGTTCGTTGGCAATTTCTGTACATTTTTTGAATATAATTGAGAAGACAGAATTTGCATTTGTTCGGTCCTTTTCAAACATGGTGATTAATGTATCAACATGATATTTTACAGAAAGTAAATCCACAGAAACCCCTTGCAGTTTATTTGCCACTGGTTCCAATAGTGATGAATACTTAGCAATGATATTAAGACAGATAATGAACTGGGACGAGGATACTGAGCAAAGCAGTTGTTGAGCTTTTGACTTTGTTTTGGCATTAAACATTACATCTGTTGACATATTTTGTAACACCGTTGTAATAAAAATAATTTTTTCATAGAAAAGCCTTATTGATTTATATTTTGCTGACCACCTGGTCTCGCACAACAACGGCAAGTTGAAAACCATTGCACGCCTTTTTGGACTCTCTCTAAAAAACATTATTGTTTCCTTAATGACGCCTACAGAGTTTTGGACAACTTGAACAGAATTTAAATCATTGATAACTAAATTAAGTTTATGGGAGGAACAATGAAAAAAGGTTGCATTAGGATATTCATTTCTAATTAATTGTTGCACTCCGTTTTCTTTACCAGCCATCGTGGAACACCCATCAAATCCCAAACCAACAAGTTTATTTAAATTTAGCTTCAAATCTCTCAGTACACTTAAAATTGCACTTGAAATGGCGTGAGCATTCATTGCTTTTAATTCCGTAAAACCAAGAAAATGCTCATTTATAATATTACTTTTATCCAAGTACCTGATACCAATGGAGAGTTGCTCCTTGCCTGCTATATCAGCGGTTTCATCAGCCAGCACAGAAAAACCAACACTTTCGTTAGCTTCATCTATAATATGCTGACGAATTACCTTTCCACATAATTCAATAAGTTGGTTTTGAATTTGGTGAGATGTATACTTTGCTGTCTTAGAGCACGTCGCCAAATGATTTTCTAGTAGTTTATCACCACTTTCAACTCTAAATTTCAGAAGTTCTTCAAAATTTCCATCTTCTTCTTTCCCCCTCAGTGCCAAGTCACGCTTTCCACACAATAAAATTGTTGAAATAATAGGTACCAGTTTTTTTCTATTTTCTTCTATTATTTGCCTTTCTTGATTATCCAATAGATCAGTAACAGTAGGTTTTTTACCAGAAAACGTTTTTATAAAATTATTTGCCTTTAAAACGGAATTGCAGTGCCATTCTGACCTGATATGTTTTTTTTGCAGATTCGTGTAAATGCTTGAAATTTGTAAATTCTTTAACTATAAAGGCATCTTGGAACCCTCTTTTCACAGGTGGCTTGAAAAGTACGCAATATTTACAAAGAGCTCCTTTCAGTTTTTCAGAATAAGCAATCCACTCGTAACTACTTAACCATTCACGCCTAAAATATCTTTTATTTTTAGGAACATCCTTTTTGAAATTATAATTCTCTAGAGGAATACATGGACTAGATAGTAAATAATATTTTTGGGATTCGCTTACTAGTTGCAAACCTATATAGCTTCCCAAGTCATTACTCCATTCCTTTTGCTCTTCTCTATTTGTGCTAAATGAACAAGAGGCCATCAAAGCATCTTCTTCAACAGTAGGCTCCCCTTGAAATTTAGGCTGCTCTTCATTAGTAGCCTTTTTTTTCTTTAGAGGACTTTCATTATCTGATTTATCCTCACGTTTGCTTGAGGTTTTCATGTTTAAACATTTTCGAATATCCATGATTTTTCTAAGTTTATGCTTGTACCTACAAATTACACAATTAAAAAAACAACAACTTTAAAAAAAACTTACGTTACCTTACGATTTACTTTTCAGTACACAGATCTCACATATTCACAGACCTCATACTACTAAAACTAAAACGCAGAATAGGTAATATCTCAGAAGCTCGACTCGCTGTGGAAGGAGAAAGACAAATTTCTGTCTATGCATTTGGAGTATAAATCATCAAACTAGCCTAGATCATTGGCGTATACATCCGTTTTATATTTGCGCTATGTATAAATTTCAGTGGTGGCGTTGATTTTTCGCGTGTTATTGTGTTTAGCTGGTTAGAATATAATTAGTTATTATAATTTGTGTTATTTTTTTAATTTGTACATTTTAAAGTTATTTTCGCGTTTTATAGACTTATTATGAGCAAGAGAACAGCTGGAATAATTTGTTCTGCAAGTAATTTCCAAAATAACGCATATAACTGTAACCTATCTTTTTTATAAATTTCCAAAATATCGTGCGAGGTACGCTAAAATTTACATAAAAGAATGATCTTATTTAAAATTTAATATTAATAAAAATACTTTTTTTTTATACTTAACCCAGGGGGGGGGGCCTTAAGTGACGGTGCCCCTGGACTGATCTAATAGGAATAGATTCCCTGGTTTCTATATTAGATCATAAATATCTTTAAGGATCTAGTTGCTTATGTTGATTTTCATTGTTCCTATAACATTCATTAATTAATAGTTATTAACAATAAATCATTAATATATTTTGAAAATGCATGGCTTCTTGACAAATAATTGTTTTATTTTCTACAGCTCTGCCAAAATTCCTAGTTTGTTCATTTAGAGTTAATTTGACATTTTTAAAAAATTACAGACTGCTGCTCTCCTACTTCGATTTGTCTTAACGAAGAAAAACTACTAGACTAATCCATTCGTTAATAATTAAATATGTTAAGCATGTTTTATGTTAGGCAGACAACTGTCACCTCGGCTAACGAATTAGAACTAGCGAGACCCCTACTAAATCGAGTGAGGATGGTTTGTGCATGACGCGTTCTATAAATGAAATAGGATGCTTGCTTTACACTGTTGCTACGTTGCAAAATGCATGGTATATTTTCCTGAAAATGCCCATTTCTAAACCAAATTCAAATATAAAAGTTCATATAAACATGTGTCCTAAAAAGTCTAGTTTTTTTTAAGTTACAAAATTTCAAAAAATATATATCAATTTTTAATTATTTTTTCAAAGATCTTTGGCAATATTGTTAGCGCTAAATTAACGTCTTATTACAATGAACAACACTGCCAAATTTTAATATTATCTGCAAAAGGATTTTAGAGATATTTGGTTCAGAAAAACCTACTTGGAATTACTAAGTAACACCTAGTGTACTTTAATGTAACTTTGAAAGATTTGTCTGCGTTTTAGAGTCTTATGTTGAGTAGATTCCTAATTATAAGCATAAACAATTCTTCTACGCTCTTGCAGTAATTTTGCAACTAAACTGCTGGCCACTCGAACTTACACATAGAGATTTTTAGGCAAAATTTAAGGCCGCAGTATCACTGTATTTCTCATATAAGAAGCAAGGGTTCACCATTTCCGATTGCATTTAAATCCCGCTAAATGTATTAAAATGATTCTTCTACCAGCTTAAAGTATAAGGTTTGAAGAATGAAATCTCCTATTTTTTATTTGTCCTGTTTATACACTGAATTTTAAAAAAAATCATAAAAAGTGATTTTAAAACCAGAGGCTAAAAAGTAGGAGATTTCATTCTACATATTTTTCCAAGTATCCCGCCAAAATATTTCTAAATTTTATTGCGTATTTTTCAAATCTAACTGGAAATACGATTAACAAATATTTGATAAATTTATTTGTCAAATTAGAGATTTTCTATGAATTCCTGTAATTGTGTATAGTTCATGTAGTTCATCTATTTTTAAGAAGATGTCACCTTAAAAAACAATATACATTGCGTTCGGTCTGCCAAGTTCCTTTAACTCCTTTAACACTTTTAACTCCAAACGACCCTTTTAGCGTTAGGTTTAGTCCATTGATAAGGCAACGTAAGGATACGTCATATGTATTATTTTTGATATACAAAAGTGGGACCGGTAGGCGTGGCTTTTGCACTCACTAAAATGGCGGAAGAGCAGAACCGTATTTACAAGTTTTTATTGTACTATTTCTGGTTAAGTATCATTATTTGAATTATAAAAAAATTATTTTCCTTTTTATTGACATTGACTTAAAAGGTGGTGGAAGGCAGAGGTTATAAAAGAAGGGGATTTAAAAGCTTAAATATGCCCGGTTTTCAACCGAGAGGTGCTGAATAAAGTAAATGAAAGAAATAAAATATAACTGATTTAATTATCACTCAAGTGGCTATTAAGCGCTGGAGAATATATTATTTGCAAAATTGCAACTAATCAATGACCATGATATAACTAACTTGGGGCCGATTCCACCATTGGGTTTAACGAAGTTTAAAATGACATTTTTACATAAAATGTAATTTTAATCTTCAATTAATAGTTTAAACTTTAACACAGTGGTAAAATTAACCCTAAAGCGTTGAAATCATTCACAGAAAAAATAAATAATACCTTTTTGGTTCACATAAGCGACAAAAGTAAACAGAGTTCGATTTATTGGATCAGTCGTCACACGTTTGCACTAGGGCACATAAATAGCTCAATCTTTAGTTTTTCGTTTTTCTATGAGCCCAATGCTTTTTGTCTTTAAATCGGAAAGTACAAGGTCGCAAATGTCAAGTAATCTAACCTTACTTTAATTAATAGCTTTCTCGAAATTAAGAACAAATGTTCATACACTAAAAGCTCGATAATCAGATACGAAACTTAATGCAAGGCTCGCGGAAAATGGCTAATAAGCAATCTCTGTGTAGGTAGATGCACTGTTCAGGAAATCAAAATGTGGATTAATCTTACTTGGTCTTGGTACTTTTGTAGATTAAGACTGAAAGGTGTATATCTTCATGCAAGACATTCAGTAAATCAGCGAAGCCACAACCAGTGGTGTGCAGGTGCACTTCTAACAAATGTAAAATATGAAGTGATCTTACTTGAGCCCTATAGATCCAATGACGATATTATGGTAGTTGGTTTGAGCTGGGCTTCTCACCATCTGCAGAGATTATGGCTACTTATGTAAAGACCTACCGTAGTAACACACAACATGCACCACAAGCGTGCCGGTCCAATTTAATTGATCTATGCACAATAATCATGCATGTATGATTGAAAGTCTGACAAAGAATGTGAAGATAAAGTTGAAGTCTCAATCATAGTTAAAGTCACAGATGAAGTTAAAGTTAACAGCAAAAGAATTGAAATTGTAGGCTGGTGATAAAGGGAGGCCAACATCTAGGTAATAAATGTTTGTCGAGTTAGGAAAAGTATCCACTGTAAGCGCTTTTCTTGACCACATGACCACTAAGGTAAAAACCAGAATATTTCCTAATACACAATTTCTTCTCTAGGCAAAATAAGAAATAAATTTGTGAGAGTACTTCCCAAGTGTTTTTACAAAAGCTCTAAGAACAAAATTGACGAAAATGGCCTAATCCAAGTTCAAATTCTAAAACTTGAACATTAAAGATAAGTATCTTACTGTAAAACAAGTAAAATGAATGGTTGAATAATTCATTACCTACGTGGAGGTAGAATAGGGACTAAAGTTTAGCAGAAAAAGCTACTAGAAAAGGTGACTGGGGCATATGAACGTCAAGCAAATATTGTAAATGAAAATAATGTGTGCTGTGATTAAATAAAAGTGTACAAGGAATAAAGTTTTAATATTTTTTTATTCATATCTAGGAGTGATATTTATTTTTAATACTAGACAAACGGTTATGGTTTTGTTGCTAGTCTCATTAAAAAAAACTAAGTGAGTATTGATGTCTTGATGTTAAATATTTATTATTATAAGAACTTATATGCACTATACAAACTTGAATATCATATTCCTGAATTCATTTCAAGCATAAAATGTCCTATGAACAAACATTCAATTCTGCATGGTTACCAAGCTACAAGAGTTTAAATATCAAAAGATATATTAACATAGTATGCCATGTGTTCGAATATGTCGAAACACAGCACTGAATGTTTGGTGCCTTGGAACTTGTCGGTATGGAAATCGTCACCGATACTCCATACAAGCAGGTCGCGAATATTCATTGTATTGTATTTTCAACAGTCTCCACTTTAAGGTCCCTATGAAGATCAGTATTGTGGCAGTACCAGGGTGCATTGGCGATGTTCCTTAATGCTTTATTCTGGAAACGTTGAATAACTTTGATGTCACTTTTCTGACACATCCCCAAAGTTGGCGAATCGCTTCATTTTCACCAATTCCTTTAAACGCACTAATCTGAAACAAATTATAGGTAATTAAAAAGGTATATTAATATTGTTTTAAATTAACTATAATAAAACAAACAATACTCATGCATACACAAAACATGAAGCTCTACTTTTCAATCAGCTGTAGAACTAATAAATAAAATTGGTGGAAGGACAGCAAATGTAGGTTATATTTAAATAGAAATAAGAATATAAAATGCCTATAAATTAAATTTGACAAACGAAATGGCGTACGATTAATGTACTTCTCAAGAAAATGCTTGAAACATATACTGCTGAATTTATTATACTTGTTGACAAACTATCCACGCGCTACGTTTTATAGGATTTTTTGAAAAATCTATAAATATTATTTCATATGAAAAAGTATTATTCCAATATAGGTAGGCCTAACAGTTGATAGATGATTTTTTTTGCATTTTTAAAAGCATACTTTTATACATTTTATACAAACCTGTCATAATACTGTCCTGTATAATATTTATAATTTTGATACTAACCTATGAAACGTTATTCCAGTCGATTTTTCACAAAAACGTCTATCGCTAGAGCAGGAACGTATAACACAGCAAGGCATTATATACTTTATAAGTTTGTAACACTCAAAATTTGCTCAAACACAAATTAAATTCAAATTTAATTACACAAATAACACTAAAAATATAACCTATAAAATTTGACAATTTGCACTCACAGTAATGGCGGACCGGTCCCACTTTTCGCTTACGCATGTCGTATCCCTAGGTTGCCAGATCAATGGTTTAGTCCGATTAGTGACAGTTTAACACGCTTAAATGTCATTTAAAAGCACCCTAAAATTTGTTCCGCTCCAGCCCCTGACTGACCGAACTCGCCTATAGCTACTCTGTTTTAGAGATGGTTTTAATAGGTAAATCATTGTTTAGAGGTACCAATTTTTGAAACAGTGATACAGGTGTATGCCGTCTTTTATTGTTTTGTGATTTTCATATATATTTCTCTCGTTTGGTTCCAAATTATCGATTGATTTTGCCTGTGTATAAACAAGTGTTGACCACGTTGCCAGATTATCGATTTATACGATAATTTCACAATTCTTTCTAGGACGAATTTGATTTTAAAGTGGGTGAAATATACAATGGTGAAATGCAGGAAAGGGAAGGAACTTTATTGCATTCCGATGTAAATTAAATCCGAATGACCTGGCATCATTGTATGATACGCACGTAATATTGGCGGTGTTTGCTTTCTTCTCCTGAATGTTATTTTATCTTTATAAGGAATCTTATTTCTGAGTTAACACGTTGACTGCTATGTGTATGTACCCATGTGTATGTCCTATTAGTGCGTAATTGTTCAATATTTTAATTTATGTTAAAGACACGCAAACATGTTTCAAAAAAAAGTTATATGGATTTAAAAAATACATATTTTAAAAATATTTTTAGATATATACAGGGTGCTACATTTTTGCTTGGTATATTTTTAAAATAGAACATGTATTTTATTTCAATTTTAGAATGGTTTGGTAATACTGTATTCAACCTTAAAATAATTTAAAAAAATATTACAGGTCTGCCAAGCAATTAAATTTTTATAAAATTAGAAAATGATGCAGACCCCAAATTAAATTATCATAATTCAAAATTGTTTAATGTACTGACTTATAGCAAATTAAGATAACGAATAGTAGTGATAGTGCTGGATTCTTTTATAGCGAGTGTTTTGAAACATGTCTTAAAATGGTTACTTTTAAGTCAAATTACTCAATTTTTTAAAGGCAGCATTTGATATAATATTTTAACATACAATTCCTTATAAATTTGCATATCCAACGATACCAACATATTAGAGAAGAACATATATACAGAGTGTCTCATCAGTACGTAATTGATCGATAGCTGTTTTATTATTAGAAATAAAAAAAAAATAATATAAAAGTTGTATGACCATATTTAACAATTATTTATAAATATACAGGGTAATCCATAAACGATTGTCTGACCAAACCTATACATTTTTAAAGTAAATATGTCATAAGTTGCATACACACAGTAGGTCTATGTAAGCTGATAACAAATGGAAAACTTTTTTATTATTTATTTTACGAAAAAAAGTTATTCTTCATAAAAATTTATGCATGGTCTAACAAAAAATATAATTTTGCTCTCAAGATAAAATACCTTTATTTTCGACAAACCCTGTATACGACTGATAAAATTTGATATCAGATAATTGAAATTTAGGTTTTAGACCATGCATAACTTTTTATGTAAAGTAACTTTTTTTCTAAAATTAATAGACCATGCAATTGTTTATGAAAAATAAGTTTTTTTTTAATTCTTAAAAAGGTTTTTCTACACCCGTATTATAATAATGCACTTATATGCCCATAATCCGTTTCATAATGATACCCATTATGATACAGATTTTTCATTATGATACAGATTTTTAATCAATAGAAACCTACAATTTTTCAATCAAGCATGATGTTTGACGTTTGTTCTAAATTCCTATGTAATTGTTTTAGTTGTCAAAACGTATTAAATTTTCGTAGATAGCTAAACTTCGATAATTATAATATTAAAATGTCTGATATCAGCGATATAGAAGACTTCTCCACACATATCGGAAAAAGGAGAAAATGCAGTACAAAATATTTTGCCCCAAAAATCTGTGGTAATACCAATACCCAAGGTAATACCATTAATTACAATTTTGTAGAATTTTTTATAGAAATACGAGTAATTACTGTTATTGTGTTCAATGCCAATATAAATAGAATATTTATAGGTCTTGATTATTTATCGGGTGTAGAAAAAATAGCGTATGCAACTCTCATGTAATGGTTATTAAAACACTCGCATAAACCATACGAAACTCGCCTTTGGCTCGTTTCGTATCCCGGTTAATGCTCGTGTATTAATAACCATCATTACATGATCGTTGCATAATATACTATTTCCGTATGCCGATGCCGCCAACTTACATATAAATGAGATTAAATGAGATTGAAAATAATTTTTACTGATGCAGATCTAAATAAAGTATTGTTGGTAAATAAGGTACATTTTTCTTTTTTTATTTGGTTCTTTGGCTGTAAGACCTTTCGGTAATATACATGGTATTCCATTAAGAATAGGAGCAACTGAAGATTAATTGATTAGAAATAAGCCTATTAAACGAAACATCCGTAGGTAAAACATTACTTGTTTCCGAAAAACAGAGTTTTAAAGTTGAAAATCAAAAATTATAAATAGCTACAATTTTTTTATTACTCAGTTTAATTTCACTAAATTCGGCAAACGTTATTGGTGTAATAAAATACATCTATCAGCAAAAAATAAAATAAATAAGCTTTGCCAGTGGCGTACGTCATGGGCCAGTAACATCTATTTTCCTTCTAAATTTTAGTCCACTGTCCACTTTTGATGTTTTTTAAATAAAGTTGAGTTAGTTTTCGAGATATTCGCACATATTAGAAAATTCTGAAGTTTTTAAATTTCGTTTTTTTTTTTAATTAAATTTCTAAGAGTACATTATTTATTTTAAAAACATCAAAAAATTTAAAATTTTATGTCCAAATAACATTTTGGATAGTGACGTAAAATTTAAGAGGTATGCGGTATTACGTACGAATGCTGTACGCCACTGGAAAAGTTAATTAAGGTAACTTATTTTTTTGCTGATAGGTGGATAATTTGACACCAAAAACGTTTGCCAAATTTAGTAAAATTGTTGTAATAAAAAAAATAAAGCCATAAATATTTTTTGGATTTT